TATAATTATTATGAGTATTATAATATATTATTAAAACGGTTTACATTATTTAATATAATAATTTAATATATCCACAAACTTTATAGTTAATTATTAATAAATAAAGAAGTAACTAGATTTAAATATTTTATTGTTTAACCTTGCTTAATCAAACATGATTTATTGTTTAACCTTGCTTAATCAAACATGATTTATTGTTTAACCTTGCTTATTCAAACATGATTTACATTAAACATTAAGGAGGGAGAGAAGCAGTTTATGGCAAGGGTAGTCGAGGATAATTCCAAAAAACTTAAAAAATTAGTTACCATTTCTTTTTATGTTTTATGATTTTTAAATGTTTTTTTAAATTTTCAAATGCTGAAACACAAGCATTTTTTAGAGAAAACTAATGTCTAAAGGACACTGTTTTTTACATTTCAGTTGAACGGTTGTAACTTGTATCTACGTGTGCAATTATTAATGCATATGGAAACTCTATATATTTAACCGGTTTTTATTTTTTCCAGAGCAAGATTTTACAAATGTATGCCAACTGAAACACCGTGTTTGCTAGGTTAGGTTTGCTAACAACCCCGGTAGCAGATGAATGACAGGAGCACTTTTTAAACAAGTGCTCAAACATTTAAATTTACATTCAAAATTCAGTAAAGAACTGTTATTGTTTTTACTGCGTAATCACAAAGTTATTCTAGAGTTAATTCAATAGAGATAATGAAATTGCTTTACTTACGTTTCCACCTCATTTCACACATAGGCTTTAACCTTTTAACGTTTCAGTAATAAGTCCTTTTAAAGAGAAGCTTTCTAAATTTTAAAATGACTAATGATTAAGTTACCTAAACAAAATTTTCCCCCTATCAGAAAAACAATAGCAATTAACAATTTAGTATTAAAACCTTTGCATATAATAGCTCGTTTACTCAAAATAATATTACTGCATGATTTAAACATTGTGTTTTTTTGTTGTTGTTTTTTTATTATTTAAAAAATGCATTTATAAATGATGATTTTGAGTGATTTGATGATTTGTTAAAAACTACTATTGAAGCTGGTAACCCATTGTAACCCAAACAGTAAAATAACTTTATTATTAAATTATAATTTTAATTAAAAATATATTTTAATCAAATACAAATACAAATATTTAATAAACTTTTTGATCAAATACAATATGAATAAATTTACGTCAATTTTGCTCATAACTACCAAATACAAATACAAATATGCATTCGACCCCAACCCTGACTGAGACAAATAATAAAACCTGGATGGCAAACCTGATTAAAACCCAATACCGAAAAAGGGATACTACAAATTCTTTTCTGTAATATCACTTTTTTTTAGATGTACATCCATACTAAAAAAATACATTTGGTTAGTATAGATATACATCTGCTTGTGAAAGACTAGACAGGATAGGTATCACTGGTTCAAAATTTAAAAACTACTAGTTGGCTCTGATTGGTTGAATTACCTTTATTGTTTGCAGCAATCAGATTGCCAGAATTGTAGACAACGTAAAACCAGCAAGAGCCAAAATCAGTAAAGACTCAGTTTGTTCATACTTATATGAGTTATCCGTTACACATATAAAAATTCCTGATATTAGCATAATCAACTATGATGAGAAAAATGTGATTAATAACTCAGGCTCTAAAACAGTAATTGTAAACGTGGCTTTAACGTTTAAATAGAAAAATTCAGCACTCCAAAGGAGTTTTTAGAATTATGTACTGCGGGAGTGTGGCTGGTCAGTTTCTTATTCCCATAGTTGTTTATATAGAGTGGAAACGTGACTGGAGGTTTATTCGAAAGTTCAAAATCTAGTCGGTTCGACTCTAGAAGATTTGAGCGTTGATTCATTTAAAATTTTATACCTGAAACAATAACGCTTACAGGAACGAAGGTTGTTATTCGAGATAATTTAGGCTCACATTTTTCATCTAAAATCATTTAAAATTATCATGCTTTGAAAATAATATCTGCTTTACGTGTTTAATCCCAAATGCCACTTATTTAGTATCATTTTCATTTGAGAATAGTATATTTCCTGATAAATCAAAATCAGCCAAAATTCACTCAGTTTTTAAAAATGGTGATTGTTCTTCTGTTTGCAACTACTGTCCTATATCACTACTCCCTGTCTTTTCAAAATTATTTGAAAGGGTAATTTTCAATAGAATTTATGATTACATGACATTAAATATTCTTTTATACAAAAATCAATTTGGATTTCAGAGATACCGCTCTACTGAACATGCTATTATTGAACTTTCCAATAAAATATCTATGTCCTTTGATAAAGGGGAACAAGTACTAGGTGTATTTATTGATCTCTCTAAGGCATTCAATACTGTTGATCACAAAATTTTACTTTCAAAGTTAAAGCATTACGGCATTAAAGGCCTAACATATAAGTGGGTTAAAAGTTATCTTTTTAATAGAAAACAACTTGTTGTCCTGGAGAAGCCAGGAGCTCTTGATATTGTTTTATTTATATTATGATATTATTTTTAATATATATTAATGATATGAATAAAGCTTCTCATAAAATATCGTCAATTATGTATGGAGACGAAACAAATTTATTCTACAACAATTCTGATGTGAAAATATTGTTCAAAGCATTGAACACTGAACTAGAAAGCTTTAACCAATGGTTTATAGCTAATAAGTTATTATTAAATTGTGAAAAAATAAGTTTTACTCTTTTCCATGAAATAAGACAATCAACTAATCTTCCGTTAAAATTGTCAGTCAATAAAAATGAAATAAATCGAGTAAATCATACAAGGTTTTTGGGAGTAATATTTGATGAGAACCTATCATGGAAAAAACACATTAGTCTCATTGAAGCAAAAGTTCTGCTGAAATGTATTATATAAATCTAGGGCCTTTCTTGATTATAAATCACGCAAAATGCCTTACTTCAGTTTTGTTCATTTTGATCTCTCCTACGCTAATTTTGTTTGGGCTAACACACACAAAACTAAATTAATAAGATTACAGAGTCTACAAAACCACGCATGTAAAGCAGTTAACAATTTAAAAAGATTAGAAAACCCTTCCCTGTAATGAAACACATGAATGTTTTAAATATATCAAAACTTACTTAGCTTCAAATATTAATATTTATGTATAAATATAGGAATAATTTGCTGCCAAAAGTATTTTCTGATATTTTTACACCGGCAATCTTCGGTCAAATACCAACATTAACATTATCACTTGAGCAGATTAAAATCACAAGTTTCAAAATTCTCAATTATTAGCCGAGGCCCGTCATTATGGAATCAATTAAAAAATAACAATATAAAAAATTTGAAAAGCATTTTCTCTTTTAAACGACAAATGAAATTGCATCTCTTTAATTTCTGACATATATCTAGCTATATCTGAATGTGTACGTGTTTATGTGTATATGTATATATGAGCATGTATGCATATATTAGTTTTTATTCTTCACGTAGTATTTAAAAAAAAAATATTTTATTGTAAATTTACTAAAGTCATGTGGGCTTTAAATGTTATCGTAAAGGGGCTCCATGAAAAGATTGTGGTGACACCAGTCATCCGTATCTTCTTTGAGCCCCTGTCTGTTTTATATATATTCTTTGTATAACGTAAAGGTTTCGTTGTAATTTTACTATTTTATTTTTACATGAACAGCGAACAATATTTAAAAAAAAAGAACAAATAAAAAAATATGCTGGAGACCGCTTGATGTTGCTGTTTCATAATAACTGCTTTGATGTTGTTGTTTAATGTTATTTGCGTAATATAAAGTTTTACACAAATGACATAAAACATAAAATAAAATAGAAAAAAAAGATGAAAAATCAACCAATGCAGAAACCGAATTTTTTTCAACATCTTCGCTTCCAACAAGGCTGCAAGCAACCACAATTAAAGTTGAAAGTTACTGGAAGAGAAAAGATGAAGTTTATAGAGCAAGATAACGATTGACGATTTAAAGTACTGCAAATTATATGAATCAGGAAAACAAAATAAAGGAAGCGAATTCCAAAAAACTGATGTTCAAGGAAAAAAACTAGACAAATAAGTTTTTTTGGAGCACTTAGGAATAATCACAGTAAAAGGATGAGACTTAAATGAATGACGAGTAACACGAGAATGAATTTTAGTAGATGACACGAGAGACGTTAGCTCTTTAGAGCAGTGCCCATTGTTGTATTTGTAGAAATAAGAAAGATTAGCAACATTACAACGATGTGATAATGGTTAAAAATTGACTGCAAGAGCTGGTCCAACTATGTTTACAATACATATGTTTACAAATTCCATGGAGAAATTAAATTAATTGTAAAACAAAGTGCGCAGAAATTGTAAAAAAACTAAAGTTTATAAAGATATTAGTTATCAATTAACGTTTTGAACGATGTTTTAATTTCTGATTACACATAAACTTTAAAAAAAAAGATTTTCCCATTACATTGATGTTGATGAAATAGACGGCGAGTTGTTATGATTATATTCTATTATGAAAAATGAAAATTTTAAAAATGAACATGAAATATTACTTTTTTTTAATAACATTGTGTCCAGCTTCCCCAGTATTGAAGTAATTTTATGAATACATTTGACAATCGTTAAATGTATTCGTTAACTTGTTTAAGTAGAGCATTTTTTTTACAACTAAATTTTATATTTATTTAAGCGGTTAAAAAGATTCCGCCACTGAATCTTTTTAACTGCTTTAAATCTTGTTAACCTTTTTTGGTCTATATTTCATTGTAATTCTTAATTAAAGCATTGTTCAAATCTTATTGAAGGTGTTTTGAATGGAGAAAAAAGTTTTACTCTCAAATATATTTTTATAGTAAAACCTGAAAAACTTTGTTGATAAATAAGATTCTCACAAAACCGCTCCCTCTGTGTAGTAGACATTAAGGGAGTAGCTCCCTCTGTGAAGTAGACATTGAGGGAGAAAAAAATTAGTCGGCAAAAATTGGTCTTAAAACTCGAAATAGTCGTCACTTGGTTACGTTAGCCGTACGATTATACTCTGTATATACATTCTTGAAAAAAAATATATTGATGTTTTTGAAAAACATTTAATGTATATCTTTGTATAAGTAAATATATGCAGTAAATAGTGAATAAAAAAGTGCAATGATACCAGCAAAACTACAATTGTTGTCTCGTTCATCAGCAGCTTATAAACCGGAATTAGGAAAACGTTTTTTGATAAATATCTTAAATAACAGTTCCACTCCTGAACAATTAAGGGCACAATGGTCTGGTACATTTTTCAACGTAGAAAAAATGACAGAACTGTTGGATCATGATAACCACAAAATGAGGAAAGATTTTCGCAAGTTTTTGAGTGATCCTATATTTACACCAAAATATAATATATCTCTTGTGGAAGAAAGAGAAGTATAATTTTTATGTTTGAATTAATGTAATAAATATAGCAATTATAATAATAATAATAACAGTAATACTAAAAACAACATCAAAAATAGAAATAATATTATGTTGGGCATAATAACATAAGGTATACTATTATGAATTCTAAAATTAAGTTTTGAGAATACTGTTTTTGAATATTATCACTACCCACATAAAGTATGCTGTGAATTAGTTTATTAAATCAGTTTTTATAACTGCATTCACCACTTTGAATAACTTTTCATTTTAAATGCTATAAGTTGAATTTTTTAATTTTCACCACATTCTTTTTCAAATACAAGCATTAATTTTTTATATTAAACTCAAGATGTGGGTGTACAGATGTTGTGTATAACTTTATGTAATAATATATAATTATTAAGATATAATAATATCTAAGTATTTAAAATTTCATTGTACTAAGCCCAGTTTTAAATTCTTATTTACAAGTTTTATATACAAATATTTCTTGAAAGTAGCATTTCTTATTGGAAAACTAAAGTTAAGACTTCTGGTGGCCAACCTCACTTATCATCAATAGTTGTTTAAATTATTTTTTTATATTAAATATTTGAAACATTTTTTATTTATTACAGGTTTATGACCTTTCTTATCAGATAAAGAATCCAAAAAGCTGCTTATGAAGTGCATATATCAGCAGAAAGACACAAAAATTTTTGGCAATATAAAAAGAGATAGTATAATATGTGCCCACCTGCAATCTAAAAAGAATATGCTAATATTTAACATCAAGGCACATTAAAACATTATTTTGTACAATTTTGACTATTAATATCATGTGTAGTAAATGCACCTGTTGAGTTCTAAAACTCCTTTAAAATAACATGTTAATAGTTGTGAAAAAAAAGCATTCAAAAAGAAAAATACTGCAAACCATTACTTAAAATAAAAAATGTCAAATATGGAAATTCCTAAAAAATTGTCATACTTGGCCAAAAATTGCTGCAAGGGGTAATTCTTGTCCAATTTTGCTTATTTTCATCTTATCTAGTGGTGGCTCTGCCCGCTGTGATTACTCTAATCTATTAAGTCCCACATAATTTACTCCATAAAATTGAGAGTAGAAACTTTGAATTGCCCCACACTTGTTTGATTATCTTTTATATTTCTTTCTTCTCTAGCTCTCTGTATACGCCTAACACCTAACTCTTGAGTTTGTAGCTACTCAGCTGATACCATTGCCAGAACAATATTTCCTTGATGAATAAAGAATGCATTTGTTTGAATAACTTTTCTTCTGCTTTATGTAGGGCATCTGGCAAATAATGTGATTTGACTATGGTACTACATCAAGCCATTGAAGTTTTAACTTAATCAATCTAATAACACCACCCTTGCTTCCAGTTTTTACATTAGTTCCATCACCGCCTATCACTTTCAAATCATCAAATGTGATATTGTGTTCTTAAGAATTCAGCTGTTTTGCTAAATGAAGAGTAGCGCCACAAAATCTTCATCAGGGTTCCTGAATAAGGTTATGTCCTTTTCCATTGCTATGGTTTTCTTTTTATTGAAAAATTTGAGTGTCCAGTCATTTTTACCGGATTTAATTTTTTACAAAATTAGTTATTATAAGACTAAATTCAAACTGAATTTAAACTATAAAACAACTTGCAATAAAAACAATTTAAAACAAATTACATAATATTTATACAGAAAAAGTCTACTCATAGTTTCAACACAAGCCATATTTGATTAATTTATATTATTACAAAATATATTACATATTATAGCTCTACTATTATTAAATATTATTGATTTATAAAAAATATTATTTACAAGCTAATTATCAATACTAACATTTAGAAATACAGTTTGTATTCTCTATTTTAACTGTATTTCTAATATTTAGAAATACAGTTTGTAAACTCTGAGTAGAACATGGATTTTAATATATGTCTAATATTAAATTTTTTCCATTGACTTCGATTAACTTTGATTGAATAATTTTTCTTTTTAAATGTGGTTAAATAAGTTTAAATCTTTTAATGTGTTTAAAAAAGTTTAATACTAATGGACAAGGCAAGCATATCTAATATGCTTTCACTTTAAAGCCTCTTCTAAAAATTTTTTTTTTTAAAATTAGAAATGTGCGCTTCAATATTAAGTAATATTAGCCAAAATTTGCTGCAGGGGATAATTCTTGTCCAATTTTGCTTGGTCTTATTTTTTTAGTTTTTTTTATAACTAATAATATAAATCAGGGAGAATAGTTGTATTTCTGAAAAAAGTTGTTTTCACTCCACCCTATTGCACACTATTACCTATAAACCTATATGGTTTACTAGTAATTGTGCGGCTGTGGCGCAGCGGTTAGAGCGCTTGCTTTATAAGCAGAAAATCAAAGTTTGAAACAAGCTTTAGACATATTTCGCGTCACTATAAGGAAGGAGGCACGAACTTTCTGGTTAAATGCACTTCCGCAGTGCTCTGTGATAAGACCATTAGGACTTCTTGGGTCACCTAAATAACAAATTAAAAAAAACAACTAGTGTATTGGTTCTTAATTAAATATTTTATATATTTATATATTTTATTTTAACAAAACTAAATAAGATAATAAAATAATAGAAAATGATAAAAACAGTATAAAACAATTAAAAATTAAAAACAAACACATTAATTAAAAAAAAATTTTTAGTCAATAAAGTTATGCTTTTGTAGTTTTTTTAGTTCAACAGAAACAAACCTTTTTTTAAGTATTAAGTTTTCTTTACAACCATTCATTTTTTATAACCAATCTAATTCACAATCTATTCTTGCTGAAATTTAGAACCAAAAAAGAAATATGTTTAGCAACACTTCACATTTAGCAGTCAAAGAAGTAGTATTGTGTGTAACTGAACAAGACAGAACTATTGAAATATTGTTTCTCATATAAGAAATATTGTTTCTCAGTTTGTAATTGAAAATTCAACAGTCATGTGTATAAATAAAATATATGTATATAAAAATTGAGTGTTTCCAAAAATAAGAAAGCCACACATTGCATATGAAAAGTAGATCAAAGTTTAATTTGTCTTAAAAAGTGATTCAAACAAAAATGCTAAATGCTTTTATAAAAGAATTTCAATGTGAAATGTAGTGCTTGAAGTCTTCAAATATATTTGAAAAATGATTAGTAACGAAAACAATTTATTTCTAAAGAAAATTGAAAAGCATGAGTGAAGTTTACTCATGAATATTTATTCCTGAATTAATAAAAGTACATTTTAAATGATGAATCGAAATTTAGAGATTGTGTTGGTCCTATCCATTTGATTGATGACATGGAAAAAAACATGTATGAGAATATCATTAAAGATATTATGCGGCTTTGTGCTAAAGACACAATCCCATAAGAACAGATGTTTCAGCAGGACAAAAAGCCAAAGCACTTTTCAATGATCTTCAAAGTCAACAAGTTTCTGGTCTTAACAATAAGTAAATATGATAATTAATGCTAAATCGATAGTGGTGTAGTGGTAGAGCGCTCGCTTCATAAACGAGTGGTTCCGAGTTCGATCCCCACCACGTCCCTGGTAGTACCGCGCTCAACTCGTTTCTCCGCGCAGCGGCCTTGTTCGTCAAGTTTCGTGTTTCGGAGTTATAGAGTTGAGAGAGGGTTATAGCCACAAATAAGTAGCCTCCTCGTCTGTAGTGGCCTTCTCGGCCTTGAGGAGGTGAATTAAAATAAAAAAAAATAAAAAAAAAAAAAAAAAAAAAATCAAAAATAACTTGGGTACTAGTTATAATTGTTCCAGGTTAATTTAATTTCTATCATTATTTCATATTCATTATAGCAGTATATCTTTTTTTTTTTTTATCTCTAATTTTTATTTCAAAACTTAAAAAAAGGTTAAGAAAAGTGTAGACGTCAACGTCAAAAAGTTAAATGTATGAAAGTATAATAGTATGGAACAATTGTGTATAAATTTTTACAGTAGGCATATGACATTGTATTTTTCAATAAAAGTATACCAAAGTTTTGTGCAAAGAAAAGTTTTATTAATAATTTTAGCAATACGCACAAGGCAAGGGTTATTGCTCTTGACATTGATAAAGCTTTTGATAAAGTTTAGTATAGGTTCAAGCTTGCTTCATATGGTGTATTTGGGAAAAATTTTTAAATTATAAAACCATTTCTTCCTAACCAAAGTATTAAAGTCATCAATGAAGCCCAACACTATTCTTCATTTCCAGAAACTTCTGGGTTATCCTTGGTTCTGTATTGTTTTTTATTTACATTAATGATCTTCCAGAAAATCTAACATCTAAAGTGGCTTTTTTGACAAAAAGTTTTATGTTTTCAATTGTTTAGAAAAGGCAGTCACTTGAATCTGATCTTTTGTAACAACTAGGGGCTTGCAAGGGCTTGTGAATTTTAACTCCAACAAAACTCAGTTATTTATTGCAAACAACTCATAAGTATCACAATACTGTTGACATTCCTATAATAGTGAATGGCAACCCTCTCACTGAGTCCTCTTTTTTACGTCTTCTCTGATTATCATTCACTTCTGACCTCTCATAGGAACCATATATATAATCCATTACAAAGTCAACATCTGCTAAGGTTGCTTCTTTTTATCGTGCTTGCATTATCTTACTCCTGATTTCATTTTCCACCTCTACAAATCTCTTAAATGTCTCTTTATTGAATTCTGCTATCATATTAGGGTTAATTCTTCTTACGATGTTTTTTTTAATTGAGCCTCTCTCCCTTCATTGTAAGGTTGCATCTCTTTCTTTTTTTCTACAAATGCTATCATCCTCACTGCTCTAAGAGCTATTATCTCTAGTTCCATTAAGCAAAATTCATTCTCGCTTGACTCATCATTCAGCAAAATCTCGTTCTTTTACTGTATCTGTTTTAAAAGCTTTTATTCCTCTTTAATCTTTGGAACTCTCTTCCATCTCCATGTTTTGCTGACTCGTACAACCTTATAATTTCATAATTTCAAAAAATTAGTTTTTATTTGCTAAAGTTTTTTTTGTTTTTTTGTTTTTAATTAGTTGTTCTCAATGATAAATATAGTAAAAGTGAATCCGATCAAACCGATCAACGAACAATAAAAATCAAGTAACTTTATTATTTTTAAAAATTTTTAAACTATTTTTTTAAATAAGATAGAAAATATCAACAAGTACATTATTAATTTTTTTTTTTTAATTTTTTTTGAAAATATGAAAACTAGAAGAAAAAAAAAGATCCCTTTTGGCAGAAAGTCTGTTAAAACCGATCAATATAAAATACATTTAATAAATTTAACATTTTATATATGTAAATGTATATATTTTTATATATTTTTTATATTTGAGTTACTTAACTTCTTCTCTTTTTTTGAGATGATCTGCAACACCGTGTTCTGTTATACATTGGCCAGCAATTTTTGGAATATTAGGTTGCCTTGATTTTTTTACATGAGACTGATTTTTTTCTCAAAAAAAAATCTTTAGCTCATTTCAATTTTCATTCTCTCATGTAGTGCTCTGTACTTGTCGAACCTTGAAGCTGCTGTTGCTGGTTCAGAAGATAATGCTAAAGACTTTATTGTTCGCAATGGCGTTGAAGACGTTAGTTGATTTTGTTTCTGTTAAGTGGAAATAACCCAGTATATTCAAACATGTAAAACATGTAAAACACTTACAGCTCTCATACACCTGTTTGAGCAACGTAGGAAAATTTTCCTACGTTGATTTAAGTTTTTGCATTTGGTGTCTTTGTAATATTTGGTAAGAACTGCCTTCCACACTTGCTTAACTTGGCAAAAAACACCTCTGTCCAGTGGCTGAAGAATGTGAGATGAGTGGGCTGGTAGACAAATCAAAATTATATTGTTTTTCCGACATAGCAATACAGTTGCTAAACTGACGTGAGATGTATGTCGATCAAGATGTAAAATATGAGTACCACTAATAGCTTGACTTTTTGGTATATACACTTCCTTCAACCATTCAATAAATGTGTCATGCTCCATCCAGCCAGATTTAGAAATTGAATATTTGGTGCCAGTTGGACCACCTAAAGCCCACTTAGCTCTAAAGTTTCGTTTTGCTTTGTATACCATGAATGGTGGTGTAAAGTATCCATCAGCATTACAGCAATTGTTCACTGTGTAATGGATTTTTTCATTGTTACCAGTGAGTTTCAAAACGCGCTTTGCATCTTTTCAACATACTACAGTTGCTTTGCCTTGATCCAGAAACCCAGTTTCATCGCCAGAAACCCGTTTTATTGCAATTCCAAATGTGACAACTAGAAGTTATCCCAGACAATTGATATTGTTTAGTGACAACTTCAAAATAATTATCAATTATTTCTTGCATACAAGAAGCAGCTCTGGCAGATGCTAAAGTGTGAGTTTTTATTGTGGAAATTTCTTTAGACCATTGATTTGTAAATGCATAAAACCAGTCTTTGCCAGGCCTGCTATTTTTAAATAGGCCTGATTGATTTGTACGAAGAAGGTAACCGCATACGAAGTCCATGACATTATTTTGTGATTAACCATAACCCCAATCACATAGGAACGCATCACATAGGAACCCCAATCACATAGGAACCCCAATCCCCATATAGGAACCCCATATAGAATCCCACATAGGAACCCCAATCACATAGGAATCTCAATCCCACATAGGAACGCATCACATAGGAACCCCAATCACATAGGAACCCCCATCACATAGGAACCCCAATCACATAGAAACCCCAATCACATAGGAACGCATGCACCATTATTTACCCATTTTGCTGTGAGAGTACGGTTGTTGATCCTGATCCCTTGAAGCTAGCATTGTTGTTGTTCTTGTGACCTATTAGAGTTGAGAATGGAATGCCATATTTGAATGCAGCTTTTCTGATTGAAGTATTTTTTTCTTTTATATCATTTAACACAGCTTCTATATCTTCTTCATTGTATAACTTTTTACTTGTTGTCATCTTGAAAGTGAATAATTAATAAATATCATTAAGTCATTTTTGAACTAACACATAAGAAAATTCTATAATTTAATTCACCTAGGCGCCTAATTTAAAAATTCAGATATTACTTAATAAAGGAATTTAAAGTAAATATGTGAATCTTTTAAAGTTTTATAAAAATAAAATAACTGAAAAATGACTTAGATTTTATTTTGACACATTTGAATAGAGGAGATGATTCTCTTTTTTCTGGTATTTTTATTTTTTAAATATTTCTATCAGTTTCGGTTTTATTTAAATTTTTCGATCAGTGATTGAAAAAATAGATGATCAGTTTGACCCGCTTTTACTCTAAATGTTTTTTGTCTATTTTATGAGTTGATAAAACCTATTGACCTAATTTATTAGATAAGTTTTTTATCTTGCTGTACTTTTATTTGATCTATATCTATTTATAATATATAGGTAGCTCTTAAGCGATTAAAGAAAATATGTGATGCTGGATTTATTTCTGTTTTTGATTTCCATAAGAATCCTTTAAAAATATTTGCAGCTCATGAACTTGCAAGCATAATGGATCCTGCTATGGCTACCAAAATGACAGTTCAGTTTAATCTATTTGGTGGAACAGTTCTTAAACTAGGTACTGACAGGCATCACAAGCAGTTACTAAAGGGTATTGACAGTCTTGAAGACATTGGTTGTTTTGGGCTAACAGAGTTAGGGTAAACATTTTAGTTATTTTTTAAGAAGTCATTTTTGTTTATATATTTTTTTAAACAGTTATGAGCTATAATTATTTATTTAAAAATAAGTTTTAACAACAGTTGTAAATATTTCTGTGCAAATTTCATTATTTATTGTTTTTGCTCTGTTTTTTTCTTTTTGCAAAAAACCCATATAGATTAAATTCAAAATATTTGCTCATCAAATATACATCTAAATTTGCAAAGGTATATATATATATATATATATATATATATATAGGGCTCAATTTAATTTTTTCAAAAGTCCCGGACAAAATGTCCTATCTTAATTTGTTTGGGTCGGACAGTGTCCGATCAAATTTTTAAAATATAATTTTTTTGGTTTTACGAAACCATGTTGTGCTATCGAAATCTTTGTCATGTTATTCAGTTTAATTAACGTTAGTCTAGTGAAGTTGCAGTTTTTTATTTTATTATTTAGAGTATTTCATCGCATCATTCTTGGTTTTTTAATAAAATAATTAATTTAATATTGTATGTTTTTTTAGATAGATTTAAATTTTCACGCTATAACTGACGACGCTTTTTTTTCCTTTTTTCTTTACAAATTTGACGACTGCTATTTTGATGTTTTAACAATTTAAATGCAATAAAACAATTGTTACATTACACATAACTTTTAACCATTGATCTTTTTTTTAAAAAAGTTAAGTTTTTATTGTACATGAAGGTTTTAAATAAAATAAAAATTTATTATAATGATCGTTTAAAATAAACGCATTATTTGGAAATGTTATACTTAAGTTTTTTTTTTAGTAGGTATTTTTTATTAAAAAAATTTAAACCTTTGAAACTATTTTTCCATATCTTTCTTAAAATCTTTTAAAAGATTAGTTAAATTTAATCTTCCCGTGATTTATTTTCTTGACTTTTTTTTTGTTTGTTTCTATTTTTACAATGAATTGTGTAAAAAAAATTTTAACTTGACTTACTAATTAAAGCATGAAACGATTAAAAATTACAATTTTAAAAAGACTAATTTTAAACAATAATTTTTTGCAACTTTTTGAAAGAAATGTTTTATCTCTTAAAAATATTGTTTTTTTCTTTTTAATAATTTAAATTCTTTTCAATGATTAAATAAAATTTGTTTAGTTATATCATTATCATCAATCAATAAAAGTAAATTGTAAAAGCGTTTTGCATAACTTTAATTAAATGTTTTAAAAGATAAGTTTTAGAGTAATTTTTTTCAAATCCAATTAAAAACCTAACGAAAACTAATTTTAACTTCGAGTTTTTATAGTTTTATTTTAAAGCTAATTTGTTTTCTTTTTTGTAAGGAATTGTTTTGTTTATTCTTTAATTTTTTTAAGTTTTTTTCTGGTTTGAGTTTAGCTTAACATTTCTTTTTTCAGCGCATTTCTGAAACATTTAAATCATCAAAACATCTAAACAGTCGTGGTCAACAGTTGTAGACAAAAAATCATTTGTGTGGTCAGTAATAGCGGTAGATTACACACCTTTCCTGTCAAAGCTTTTTTTTTGTAGAATTTAGTTCCTGTTGGTTAAAATGTCTGATTAATTTGTAAATTGATCAGACAATCTGAGATTTTAGCCAATGTCCTATGTCCGACCATTTAATTGGGCCCTGATATATATATATATATATATATATATATATATATATATATATATATATATATATATTTATATATATATATATATATATATATATATATATATATATATATATATATATATATATATATTAGAGGGTTGTTTACTTCTCCGTCTACTTTTGTTTCTAGAAGTTTCAATGAGATCTAGACTAGAATTAGAAGCACGTTCTGCACTGTAATGTAGAACAAAAAAACCAGTGACAAATTTCTTCAAAATCTTTTATAATATGGAAATAAGTATATAATATATAGCAATATATACACTTAGCACATAGCCTCAATAAGCTCTAGAATGATGAACTGATTTTCAGCCATTCTGTCTAAAGTAATGTCATTTTTTACAAATCAAAGAAAAATCAGTTTTCAGGTCCAAAAAATCTTTAATTGTTATTTTGATTGTTATATAACTTGCAGACTTTTCTGTTTGAGCTAATTCAAGAGCTAATTAATGTAATTACTTTACAAATAATTAATAAAAATAGGAACAATATACTTTTGAAATTCTCTAAAAGGCTGGAGATACTGTCTATCTTATTATTTACATTATCGCAAGTATCTAAACATTTTATTGTCTCCCTTAAATTTTTTACTAACCAACCTTTGTTTGTTTTCTAATAGACTCTTATAACCTTTAAATTTTTTTCTTACTTCACTTTTTATTTTGCAAAATTTTTTCAGCGCAATATTTTTTGAACATGCAAAACATGCTTTCAAGATGAGGAGTTTTTTTATTTTTCATCAAATAAATCTTCCTCTTTTAAAAGCATATTTTTGCCTTTATGGTTTTGTGTTTCTTTCTATTCCTTTTTAAGTTAACATTCATGTCTCTAAATGACATATCAAAAGTAAAAGAATTCCTTAAAGGCATTGTAACTAAAAACATTTATATATTGATATTTTTATCATAAAAACATATTACTATATTATTAAGTCAATTTAAGTTTGGACTGAATTGTAAATTTACAAACATTTTACTTTATTATAGTAAACATCTGATATGTTAGTCAGGCTTGGTCGGGAAGCGGGAGCGATCGCTCTCGATTGCTGACCACTTAAATAATATTTAGTTGCAAAAAGCTGGCTAGATTTTTTAGTCGTTTTGAGAACATTTTAACAAGCAAAAAAAGAAAGCGCTTAAGATTATTTGGTTCGATGAGAGACAATTACAAAAAATTTAATATAAAATTAAGCGATGTTTTTTATCTAAAGTAACATCTTACGATTGTTTAAAAAGGAAACAAATATTCTTTATTAAACAAAGTTTGCAAGTTTTAGTTTTATTTAAGCTAAATTATTTTATAAATAAAAAAGCTAATTTTTATTAATACCTATTTTATGTTTTGCGTAGTTTGAAAAGTTTAACATATTTGAAGCAATTCTTCTTAGTAAGATAAACAATTGAAATAATTGAATCATTGAATTACTATAGACATTAAATTAACAAGATAGAAATCAACTAAAAAGCTTAAAAATATGACGAGGAAGCAAAACTGCTTCACAGTATCGCTGATGATGTTTAGTGAGTGGGCTTTTTAATTAGTAATTTAATTAGTAATTAAAGCAAAAAAAAGTGTAATGAGTTTTTAAGAATGGCAAATGAAGCGAAAATAATTAGAGTTAGTAAACCAATATCTAGAAACTTTTTTTTATATCTAATTATTTGCTATATATATTTGTGTTCTGTCGTGACCTCAGGCGCGGTGCTTGTTCATCCGCGAGTTACTTTGTATGCGTTGTTTGTGTTTAGTAACCAGAAACTTCTTATATGTGTTACATGATTAGTTTTATTAACTTTAACGGTTATAACTTTATTGAAAACGCAATTATTTTTGTAAGTTTTTGTTTAAATCATAAAAATTGCTTTAAAAGATACATTACGATAAAAAACAGATCAACAAAATTACATTTACATAAAGAATACATACTTTTTAAATAAAAAATAAGAATGTACAAATAAAATCTATAATTTATAATAAACTTTTAAAATTTTGACAATTTAATTAATATATATTTAAAACATTTATTTTTGTAAACAATTTAAATATATTCTTAAAACAATTTATGCTAGAAATCTGAAAACGTAACAAAACGTGAATAAAATAATTTCTAAAACATTTCAACAAAATGCTCCAAAATTTTATTTCGCTTAGTCAGCGTATTTTTTGAACCAATAGAATTAGTTTGTTCGTTAATTTGGGGGGTTTTTAGTGTTCGCAAATATTCTTTTTATTCTTTCGCACCAAGATGTTTTGAGAACATTTAAGTTTTTATGTTTCCATGTATGTCCGTAAAACAAAAATTTTTTGTTTCGTAAATAAACTTAAATGTTCTCAAGACGACTAAAAAACCTGGCCAGTTTTTCGCAACTAAATATAATTTCCGTGGTCAGTATTCGAGAGCGATCGCTCCCGTTTCCCGACCAAGCCTGGTTAGTCAGTATTTTCTTCACCTAATAAAAGGCTCATGGTAAATTTTTTTACCGTGAGACAACCTCCTACTTCAATACATTAAGCTGTAAAAAAATAGACATGAAGCTTTATTATTTATAGAAATGTTTGGAAAATTATCACATAAGATAACCTCTGTAATACAGTTTTCTTAATAAGCAAGTGTTATTTGTTATATATTATGTGTAATGTGATAGGAGATGCAAACTCCGACATAAAACACCCCCTGCCTTGGGGCTCTTGGTTGAGTAAAGGCTAGAGATGGTGTCTCGATAAAAATACTCATCTTGGGCAGATGTTAAATGCATCCGGCTGCTGTCTTGTAGAAGGCCTCCTAGGCAAAGACTTAAGGGGTAAACAGATTCTATCTGTTGACCGGCCTCGCACCCCTTCTCCATCTATTAGGCTGGCGCAGATGTATTTTTAATACATTGTTTCCAGTTTAGGATGTTGAATGCTGGATCTTCTTGACTCGATGCATGGGTTTTGCTTGTGTCTCTGTTTTTATGATTAGGCAACTCATTCTATTATCTCCAAATGAGGGTACAGCTCTAAAACTCAGTTTTATGGTTCTGAGGCCCGCTGGTAGTCAGGTTTCCCGAACTCTGTGGAAGCTCTCAGAGAGGCTGATCCCATCAACAGCTGAAAAATATCAGAGTACTAACAGTGCCATGTTGCGCATGGATGGTGTCCCTGTTTGTACTTTTGGTGTGCATTGCCAAGGCCACATTGGAGCCCTTTGTTACGGCTTAGGGTTTATTAGTGGAAATGAGGCAATTGCTTGGGCTATAAAACTGTGTACTGAGTACTATGTTTCGAGTCAAGTTCTTTAACAAATTTAAAAATGAATAAAGTAACAAAAACTATAAAACACAAAAAACCACAGTCA